CGATTTGGCGATAAATTGATGATTAATTTCAAATTTCCGGTTATTTTACGGTTTGTAGACACTCTCATGAATGTATATAACAATAATTACACAATTAGATAATAATAACAAGATTTTTTCATATTAATTAAATGCATTCTATATACTATGTATAGAATAAATATAAATCATTACATGACAAGTTCAAAGACCGAAGGAACAAAAGAGAACATTTTCGGAGATGAAAGAATGGAAGTACATATATATATATATATATATATATATATATATATATATATGTACACTTAAAGAACTCTCTTTCAAATAGAAGTGTCTTGTTAATTCTTATGTACAATGAACTAAAAATGTCAACTTAAAATGACATTGTTCTGTTTATCGACACTTTATGTTCTTTCAAATGAAAGAAATTTTGAGAAATTAATTGAGAAAAATAGAAATAAATATTCAGTAATAATAATAATCAAATTTTCATTCAAATAAATATTTTTTTTTACAGAATTCGGTGAAATTTAAAAAACAAAAAAAAAGTAGCAAAAATTTAATTATATTTAATTCTTCAAATTTTAAAATAATTTATAAATATATTATCATTATTATTGAATTTGTAAAATTTTATTGCTTTTCAAACATTTTTTCAGTGAAATTAAAAAAAAAAAAAAATGTTACAATATTTTGAGTAAGGTGTAATATTATATACTTTTCAAGGATAAATTAGTGTCTTTTATTCTTTTACGAACAAAAGGCCTGTCTTACAAGAATCCCATTAGAAGCAGATAGACCTCAGTTTCCGGCCAAAGTAATGCATAATTACAAAGTCTTCTCCTCCGCCCTTTTACGCACGCACAGTTATAGAAAAACATACCGTGGGTAAAAAAACAACTAATCAGATGTCTTTTTTTTCATATCTCTTTCTTTCTTTCTTCCAGCAAAAACACTATATAGAAAAAGAAACTCTATCTTTTACTGTATATATGAACTTTGAGAAATGATCTCATTCATTGAATTCTATATTGAATTACTGTAACCGGAATGTCATCCAAGTTCACAAAGTTATCGAGTCTAAGAATCATCACTAAAAGATTATTTTTCACTGGTAAAAAAAAAAGTGTTAACAAAAAAAAAAAAAAAAGAAAAACTTATTTTAAAAAAATACAGAAAAAAAAGTCAGCAATAACAATTTTTTTTGGAATTGAAAATAAATAGTACATAATAATTTTTTTTAATAAAAAATATTTTTTTTTTGTTAGTTGAAGCGAAAAAATTGTGAACACTTATTTCTGATAAACGAGAAAAAAATTCCTTATTTACCAGAGATTATTGCGTTGAACAAAAAAAAAAAATTGAAAATCGATGGTGTCTCTCTTTATGAGAAAAAGCAACATTTTTATTTAATTTTAATTCTTTATAGGTTACTTCCATTGTAGGAATATTATTTTTTATTGTATATTTGAAAAATATGAGAAAATTTCAACAAATTTCATGTAGCATATATTATTTTTCATTTTTTCATTATAATGAAGAAAAACACGTATCAAAAGTACAATGAAAAAAAATTATTTTATTCAAATAATCGCGGTTACTTGACTATATTATCAAATAAATATTCATTTGTAATTAAATATAATTATTATTTGAATTAATTAAATTATTTTTGTTTCAAATAAAAAAATTATTGATAAAAATACAATTCATTTAATTCAAATAATAAATTATAAAATACAAATATCTAAGTATAATCAATTATTTGGATCAAATAAATTTTTTTCCTACACTCTTCATGTAAACATTCATTATTTTCAAAAATTAATAACTCAAGTAATTTACATAAAATTACGAAAAAAAAAATACAATTTTTTTCAATATAGTGATTCCAAAAAATGCCCTTTATAGGAATAAAGTAAAAACAGTTTTTTTTGCTACTATATATAAAAATAGAAATTATAATTAAAAAAGAATTGTAAGAAATTTGTAACAAAATAATCAATAAACGATAAAAAAAAAGGGATAAATTTGAAAAATAAAATTTCACATTTCTATTGCTTATCTTCTAGTAAAATGATAAGAATTTTTTTATATGAAAATTGTAAATATAACAAAACAGCTTAGTATTCATTTTTCTTGTATATGATGACTGACGTTTTTCCTTGAAAAATTCAGTATAGCAATATGAGTCACATATTATAAAATATGCACTAGTCAGACGATTCTATTGCATGTAAAATAACATTCATTCATAAAGTCTTCTTGCCTTACGTTACAAATTCATTTGATATACATATATACAGCTATCATCATCAACAACGCAACTGACTGAACCTGTTACCAATATTATTAAAAACATGTATATATATATATATATATATATATATATAGTAAAAATGTGTTAAAAATAAAAAAATCATTTTTAAGTTATAATGTACACTCATTAATTGTATATGTATATATATGTATAAAAGGTACGTGTATAAAATTACGGATTACGCACAAATATTAATCTCTGCCAAGTAATCTTCTCAAATTTATGCGAAGTTTCGAGAAATGAATCCAATTGTTATTTACAAGGTTTCACGGTAAAAATTACTTCATTTTAATAGCAATCTACACTTATTCTTTGGAAAGTATTATAACTGAAGGTTTTCCAATAAAAGAAAAAAAAATTTACGTTAAACTTTGCGAGGTTATTGATAATTCAAATTATACCGTTCTTTGGAACTAAGTACAAATTGAAACCACTATATAGAAAAAAATCATTAATTTGTCATTGATTAAAATTAAATTAACTAGATAGGGTCAGTTGGGGTAAATGGGGATAAAATCGCTATATTTCACAAATTACGTAAGTTTCTTCCTTTAAAAGGTAATATTTGTGGGTTTATATTTTTTTAAGTTGTTATTTACGTTCCCAGGATTGATTTTATGCAGCAGAAAAAAATTTAGATAATCTTTAAACGCATGAAACTGACTGTCCCCATTTACCCCAAAATTTAGAAAATTTCATAAAATTCGGGGTAAATGGGGACAGCATAGTTTCTAAGAAAGTTTTAAGAAAGAAGTTTCCTTAAGTATATTACTGTATTAAGGGATGCAAAAACTTGAAAAAAAAAATTGTAGTAGATATATAATAGTTGAACCAATTGAAATTTTTTTATTTTTTTTTTATTTCAGTATTTTGTCTCGCATTTCAAAAAAAACAGACTTAAAAATCATACCAAATTTTTTTCTTATTCCTTATGACTCCCATAACAGAAACTCACTTGAATTTTTGTTAATTTGGTTAATAATGACAAGCTGTCCCCATTTACCCCAAAAATTTGAAAACTCAGGGTAAATGGGGACAGCTTGTCATTATTAACCAAATTAACAAAAATCAAAAATTCAAGTGAATTTCTGCTATGGGAGTCATAAGGAATAAGAAAAAAATTTGGTATGATTTTTAAGTCTGTTTTTTTTTCAAATGCGAGACAAAATACTGAAACAGTTTGACTTTGATTTTCAAGTTTTTATGCATTGAGCGATAACTTTTTTTATATTGCTGCAAATTGTCAAGATAAAAGCTTGGCAATACTCAAAACCTCTTGCAGCTGATCTGAGGTTAAAATATTGACGTTGATCTTAATTTTAAAACTGTAAATTAAGCTACAAAACCTCTTGTCCCCATTTACCCCAACTGACCCTACATTATTTAAAATGTTATCATTATTTAAAATATTTCTTGTCTTTTTAGTTTTACTATTTATTTTTTTCTCAAAATTATTAGAAGAAAAAAGACTACAAAATTTTGTTCTTTAAAAAATAATCTCTTTTGAATTTATTAGTGAGAATTCGTTTACTAATTAGTAGAAATTTTCACTAATTTTTAATAAAATATTATAATATTTGATTTAGTAATTTTTTTTTACTAAAGTTTTAGTGAAAAATAAACTAAAAATTAGTAGAAATTTGCTTTTTTTTTAAATTAGTAACCGAATTCTTATACTAATTCAAATTTAGAGAATTATTTTGATCAAGAAACGTTGCAAACAATTTTTTAAACAAAAAAATAATAATAATAATAATACTTTTTCTTGTAAATCGTTGATCATAAACGTTTTGAACTTCATCGGCTTTTTTTATATATAAAAAAGCATACTTTTAATAATAAAAATGAAAGGAAATTTTTTTTTTTAAAGATTAGTCCTTCTGTTTTTAATAAGAACACCAAATATAATCTAGGTATTCTAAAAATGAAAATATATAATTGGCCGTTATTTTAAAATAATTATTACACTGAAAAAAAAATTTATTTGATTCAAATACTCGATTACTTGAGTATTATCAAATAAATATTTATTTGAACCAAATAATTTTTATTTGAATTAAATAAATTGTATTTGAACCAATAATTTCTGTATTTAAAACAAATACCATATAATTGACTCAAATAATAATTATTTGATACAAATAAATATTTATATGATAATAGTCAAGTAATCGAGTATTTGAATCAAATACATTTTTTTTAGTGTATTAATATTCCATGCACTTGACCGCCAAACACAAGAAAAGGGATGGTGAAAAAAAATTTATGTTATATTTGTGATTTTTGAATTGAAAATATAAATACAAAATGTATAATACAAAAAATTATTTTTTGTTTAAATCTTCATTACATTCGAAAAATTTAATAAAAACTATTTTTAATTTTACATAATTAATTAGAAACTTGTTTATAAGTAAAACTATCACTAAACATAACCTAAAATTTCATTACCATAAGGTCCCTTTTCTCGTTGAGTATTAAATATATCAAAAATTAATTTTTTAAAAACTCATCACTGCAAAGCATGCCCACAAATCTAAAATTTTTGTTTCTTTTTATACCATTAACCAAATTCTATTTTTGCAATAGAATAAAATGAAAAAACACAATTTTCAGACACTCTCAAAATAATAGAAAACCACAAAAAAAAAAAAAATAAATAAAAAACTGTGACTATAGAAGAAAAAATTGTGATCATTACCTGTTGCACATACCACTGAGTTGAACTTTGATTTTTTCTTAATGTCGGTTTACATGGGGCGCAAAAAAGAAGGGGGGTCAATCTATTGGCCACCTTTGCATTTGTCACCCCCGGAGGTGACGAGGGCCTCAGCCCATCATCCCCCAACACAGGCCACAGCATCCACAATCAAGATGCCTCTGTACACCCCGTTTATTACGCCACAGAAAAAATTATAATTCACACAAAAGTTTCACTCCTCCTCAAATGTTGATTTATGTTTCCATTATTTGTTATACAATTTTCCCATTACAACCAAAAATGATATGTAATTGTTTAATAGTGGTTAATCCAGTTTTACAATCCATAATATCTCTTTCTTTTTCCCCCTTGGAATTGTTCTTGCGCAAAAAAATCTGCAATTACCCGCTGTTTTAAAAAATTATAATTAATTAAAATTTGTTTCCCAAATCACTGAATAGAACGAAATATAATAAATTTTTTTACATCAAATTCATTTTTTTTTTTAAAGGAAGCTGTTAATATTTAAAAATTATGATTCGCTATTTTTATAAATTTTAATTATTATAATAATTATGAAGAGTATAATAAATTCAAAATAATAGGGTACACCCAAAGAAATGATCACTGTAAAAAAAAGTACTAAAACAGTACCGATTTTAGGTATATCAAAATAGAACCAAATTGACAATTTAATGCCTGAAGTCGATATTAAATTAATACCTTTCGTTTTACAGTGATTGAAATAAATTTTTATTTGATTTTAATAAAAAAATTTTATTTACGTCAAATAAATAGACTAGTAGGCTGTGAGACAAATATACCTTTATTTGACTCAAATATATATTATATTTGGTTTCAAATAAAACATTTCTCTGGGTGTAAATCCGGGGGAGATGTTCAACTCAAATATTTTCCAGAATTTATTGCTATAGTAATTTTTAAATAATTATTTATAGACCAAAAAAATGATTTCGTTCATTTGAACGTTTAGAATTTCAAGCACATAATCAATGAAATAAATTTTCAAGAACCATAAAAAGTGAATCCTAAAATAAATTTCAATTCAATAAAAAAAAAAAACTTAAACACTGACCACTATGAACTCTGAGAAAACTTGGAATAATAAATTTATTATTGTTGTCAGTTTAACCCAATGATAAAAAAAAAAAAAAATTCGTCTTTTTTGTTTGTACACTTTAATTTAGACTTTGTTCAATTGTTCATCTACATATTCAATTCGCGTTCACTTATTGCGGTAAAGCGCAATTTGACGTTTCCTCGTTAACACTCATCGTTTCCACAGTAGACGTTGTGGTCATCAAAGCGTGGAAGCAACCCACTCTTTATACTACGATACATAATAGTTTTTCAACTTGATGTTCAGTGAACACGAAAGCAAAAGCCAACTCGCGATATTCTACAAGGATATAGGGTCACTTTAACGTATAGACTTGTCAGTATTTACTATGAGCAAAAAAAAAAAAAAAAATACATCGACCTGAAAGGTCACTGATCAATATTCAAAGGCCAGCCCTTGACATCCATTGATTATTATATTGAAACAATGCAAAAAAGTGATCGCATATATATGTTCAATATATAAAGAAGAATAGAATCTATGTAAAGAGTAGATGAGGTCATTCTAATATAATGTGGGTTGGGTTCATATATTATGAAGAAGATCGTCATTAATCTGAGAGACAAACACTCATTGTTGTCTTTTGAGACATGGCTTTTATAGTGAAGAAGCGCACCAGCTCAATATTTCCCTCTAAAATATATATAACCCTTTGTAAAATTCATTTTCCAGGTTCAAACTCAACTAAAACTAGAAAGCCAACAGGCATACGACCCTTCACATTTATATACCCCATATCACGTGTCTCGTCACCTTTAAGTACTCTTCTCAGTTTTTCTTGCTAGCTTATATACAAAAAACAAGAAGAAAAAAAACTACAAGTTTCTTAACACACGGAAATAATAAATCCCTCAAAAGAATTTCGTATATATATACTATTTTTAGAATTTTCAAACTTGCACGTCAATTAAAAATTATGAAAATTTTAAGCTCAAAATATTTTTTATATATGATAAAAAATATTATTTTTAGGGGGGGGGGGAATCAAATAATTATACACCGAAAAAACGGTATTCTAGTTTTAAGATTATTATTTTCTTAAAAAAATATTCTAGTTTTAAGAATGTTATATTCTTACATAAATATTCTTAAGCAGATTCTAACTTTAAGAATATTTTCTATGTACTAAATCTTCTTCTTCTTAAAACAAGAATATGCGCTAGAATTGACAGGCTGCTAGCTTGTTCGCGTCGCCATTGACTAACGAGTCGTCGTGCGCGTCGGAGTGTCTTTTTTTTGACAATCATAGTAAACTTTAAAACTATTTTTCTCTACAATTGTAATAATTGTTGTTTAGTTTTAATTTTTCACGTTTAAAAATTTATAAATAAAATATTATTGCGTTTCTTAATCTTATCTAAGTAATTTAAGTTTTTGTGATCCCAAATTCGACAATTGGTTAACATTGTCTTTAAGTATTAAAATTGTGTTCTTTTTTGAAAACTTTAATAAAAGTAATATTTTTATAATAAAAATGCTGTATTTTTTCTTTATTTGAAATTATGTATATTTTGGATTAAAATTAAGTATTTACTATTCTTAAATTAAGTTTATAGTATTCTTAAAACTGCTAAAAGTATATTTCTTGATACAAGAAGAAAATATACTTATTTTAAAATTATATTCTAAAAAAGTGATTCTAAGAAAATATTCTTAATATAAGAAGATTCTATTCTTAATTTAAGAATATATTCGTGGCGCCTATTTAAGTCTTGCATATTCTTAAAATAAGTTGAAAATTCTTAAAATTAGAATATCGTTTTTTCGGTGTAATCATTTTAAATCCCAAAATTTCATTCCGAATCAAGCCGAAGCTAAATTTTAATCTTTTGCTTCCTCGTGGAGGAAGCTATGTAGTCCTTTCGTTTATAAACTTTTTAAAAATGGTGAAAACAAATTTTCCTCTATATAGAAACATGTTATATGAGATCCTGATCAATTGTCCGGATGTATGTATGTGTGTGTGTATGTGTGTGTGTGTGTGTGTGTGTATGTGTGTGTGGATCGTTTTTGTGAACACGATATCTTTAACAGGTTTTAATGGATTTGGATAAAATTTGGTAGGCTTATTTAACACATTAATCTCTCAAAAATGACGAGAGGATTTTTAAAAATACCCCAAAAAAAAAAATTTATCGTCTTTTTTCCAAAAATTTTTTTTTAATTGAAAAAATTTTTAAATCGAAAAATTTAAGGTAATATATAATATAATCGTCTTCTTTATGTCAAGATGAATCGATTGATATATATAAAGTATAGATTTGATTGAAAATTAAAGAATTAAAGAAAGTTAAAAAATCAAAAATTCTCATTTTAGCTAAAAAATGATGTGTTTATTTAAATTCATGTTTATATATGAAATAATTTTATTCCCTGCATTGAAACGAATTGGTTGGTATATATAAAGTATAGATTTGATTTAAAATTTGAGAATTAATAAAAATTGAAAAATCGAAAATTCATATTTTAGCTAAAAAATTTTGTGTTTTTTTAAAATTCAAGTTGATGAATAAAATAATTGTATTCCTTGCATTAAAACGAATCGATTCGTATATATAAAGTTTATGTTACACTCAAAATTAATTAAAATTTTCTTTATTTTTCAAAAAATTTAATTAATTTAAAACATTTTTAACTCGAAATTTTTTAAATCAATCAATTGAATTGGACAAATTCATTGCTTCCTTCACGAGGAAGCGAATTTTTTGCTTCACACAATGAGGAAGCATAATGTTTATGAAATAAACATAAAGGACCCCCTCCTTGTTTAAATTTGTTTTCAAGCCAATAGGATTGATTCGATATGAAATTTCAGGATTAAAATTTAGTTTTCGAATGAAACGAACTGATTTGGAAAGAAAAAAACAGAATTGAAAGGAATTAAAATTCAGCTTTAGAATAAAATCGAGATGAATTGATTCGAAAAGAATATTTTCTTAAGTTACACAGAAAGAAATGCTATTGAAATTTCAGCCATAAACTTATGGTTGAGATTTCTGGTTGAATTGGTTATACAGTCTATTAAATTGGTAGATAAGTTAGGTTATATTATAACCATGTGAAGTCTCACTCAAACATCTTGCTCTTTGGAAGTAGGGGAGACCGGGGTTACTTGGCGCACTTTTTACTCTTTGTTGTGTAACTTACTCATTTTTGCTTTTTTTAAAAAGTTAATGTATAGAAAACTTGTTGTAACATATCAGCTTTAATTAAAAAAAAGAAAGTTGAAATATATTTAATACTTTTATTTTTATACCACTTTATTTGAAGCTGTGCAAAGCAACCCCGGCCCTGGGTTGCGTGGCGCAGGAGTGAAATTAAAATTAAATTATATGATTTAAAGTTTAAATAATATAAGACTTAACAAAATAAGTCTTGTACTGTAATTTTACAATAAAATTATTTTAAATTTAAAAATTAGAAAATTTCATTTAAATTAAATGAAATTTGATTTAAATGAAATCGTAAAATTACCAAAAAATTTTTTTTTTATAATAACGCTGTGAATATTTAAAAACCATTATTCGGTTAAATTTTTTGAATAGGATTGTTATTGGTGCTTATTAATGTGTAAATTTCATATAATCAACTTCATTTTATTAATATTTAACGAAATTTTCAGATAACCGCGCCACCTAACCCCGAATGTACTTTTGAAATATTTATTAATTTTTTATAAAAACTGTTAATATAAATCAAAAAATTTTTTTTGTTTCTTAATAACAAATGTATAAAGCTCAAAACTTAATATTTTAGCTTTTCTAAAATTAATTTTTTAAAGAGATATGACAAAAAAATGAAGAGGTTAAAAAATTACTTTGGAGTGCCAAAATCAGTTACTTTAATCTATACTCCACAATAATTAATGAATATTAATGAAATTTTGTACAAACTTACAGTTCATCAAGTACTTCAAGCAGAATAAAGAGAAAAATTAATGTAACTTAACACTTTTGAATAAACTCAAGTGCGCCAAACAGCCCCGGTCTCCACTACTATTCGTTTGGTTGGATTACCCAAACTGTATGGCAGTAACAATTCCATGTTAATTCAGTTATACGATATGACAGAAACAGCAAGAATTATGGCAGTAATTACGAAAAATTTCTTTCAGTGTAACATTAAAATTTAGATTCGAATAGAAACTAATATTGGCTCAGAAACAAATTTCGAAATGTCTCAGAATAATAATTATTAAAATTGATTGTTAATCCGAAACCTTCGTCAGGGAATTGTATTTTTTTATTTTATTTTTAAGTCAAAAAAC